CAGTAAATAAAGCCTCTCAAGAGCAAACCGGTGGGCTTTTCGGGGTGAGAAACCAAATGCATGAATTTGTAATTTAATTAATTTATTTGTTAATTTGTTAAAGTGTTGTAATAATTAGTAAGTAGTTTGCTAGTTATTCATTTGGTTTGTAATAATTAGTCTAATTAGTTTAATTAGATTAGCTTAGCTCATTTATTCAGACCCTCCTTCGCGAGGGCGAATTGTTGTAATAAGCATGCGTGTGTGTGCGCATGTCTTCCAACCCCACTTCTTTTTTCCTTTTATGTAACCACTTTCGATAGTTAGATTAGGGAATATTTTGATTAGCATACCTTATGCTTGCATGTTTGCATCCATTCATTTGTCTTGCATGCACCGGGTTCGGTGCATCATTCAAACTACATCGTATTTCAACACCTATTTGAATACGCGTATCAATTGTTGCATTCATATGCCATCTTAGGTAGCCGAGCCTATTTAGTTGCATTATTGCATGTGTTGCAGTATGCATTTTACATAGTTAGGATCATGCATTGTTTCTAACTAGCTTTTGTTTTGGCTCGGAGTATACTGTAAGTGTTACGCTTTAGCATACTTGGATGAGTGTGAGTGTTACCATGATAACCTGCTATGTTTAAAAGCATGCTATCAAATTGTTGTAAACAAACATGTTAGGTAGCCGAGCCTATCTTAGTTGCATTATTGCATGTGTTGCATTAGGCATCTTGTATAGTTAGGATCATGCATTTTTCTAACTTTGTTTTCTTTCCTGGCTTGGAGTAATAGGTAAGTTTTTACGCTTCATCATATCGCATGTGTGTGCCATATTGCCATGATTCGCATGCTTGCCATGAGGCTATGTGCTTAGATGCTTAACTACATGAATGCCTGTGGATGAAGGCTTTGTTGCTTGAATTGGAACGATTCAACGAATGTGAGTTTTAAAGCCCACTTCGCTAAGTGGCAAATCATGTTTTAAGCCCATCATGTTTGATGGCAAATCCGCGCTTTAGCCCGCTTGAGGGTGGCAATTCCAAACCATTTTCGAAAACAAACATGAGTTGATTTGTTCCAAATCTTGCGACTCAGTCTATACTTACTTGTGTGTGCATCACATAGTAAAGTAAGCTAATAACCGGATAAGAACACATGTGTTTATAAAACAACATATCATGATTAGTAGAGGCCGATCTTTGATCAGGCGAACGGGAGTGCTCATTTCAGGACCTTCCCCTCTCGTACCCAAGTTCTCGAGCCGAGGCAACTTTGGTGATGATGGACACGTGGCCTTTGGCATGAGTCAGGGTTTCCTAAATTTTTTAAAAATAAAATATTTAGGTGGCGACTTTGTAATCTGGCAAAGCAGTCCATTTTTGGCACTTTTTGATTCAAAATCAATTTTCCAAAACGATTTGTCGGATTTGGACTCTTTGGTGTTTATCAGTCTCACATTACACTTGTGAGACTAGATTCAGAACCGTGATAGGAGTCCGAACTGTAGGACCAATTCGAATATTCCAAAAGGGGGGCGCGAAAAAGTCGAGCTACAGTTTCTGGCGACTCTACTGGGGATTTAGAGAACTTGACTTGAAAATCATGATATGTTGTTTTATCTGCACTTATGTTTTTCTTTGCATTGGTGCGCTAAAGTCACAGTGTTTGCCATTTGCTATTCCTGAACGGTTTGTCGAAGGCTCGCTTGGAAAAGCTTGCCATAAGGCTGACCGGTTGCGGGCTTTGCCACGATGGGAACACAAACCTTGGATCTAGATCACTGATGTACCGTTTGATTCTCCTTTCACTTCTCGGTGTTAGGTGTGAGAGGTATATTAGGTGGTCTTGCTAAGGCACCCTTTTTGACCAATCGACCTAGTTGCATATCGAAAGCCATAGAGACTGTTCCAAACTAGGACAGGTTGCTCACTCCAATGTTGGTTTGTTTGAAACTGTTTGCTTGCATAGCGAACCCCTAATTCCTGACGAAATTAGGACAGGGTAACCCTACCCACCACAGGGGTGTTTTGGATCTCACTTGCTCGATACGTGCTTTTAGAGTGAAACTCTACAGGAATGTATGTATCAGCTGCAAGTATGGGTATCAGTTTTCAGGTAGAAATTTGGGGCAGAAATCAGTGTTTGAGTGCAGATTGTCCAGCTTGTGATTACAACTGTGTGTTGTCTCTATCTAAGCCGAGGTGCTGTGCATTTGCTGATTGATGTTTCCTTTTTGCTTTATTTTTTTCTTTTCGCCAGGTAGTGTGTCACCATTGCTTCGGACGAGGCAGTTACCCCCCAAGCACTCTGGACCAGAGTACGGAGACTTTATCGATCTGGGGATCTTGTGAGAGGACAACATGTGTATGCTTCGCTACCCCCGGTTATGAGACGGAGGAGAGTTCGGCATAATTCACCGGTTCGTCGGTCACCAGTGCTCAGCGAAGTCCAGTTTTCTGCTTCCACTTCAGAAAGAGAATATACACCAGATCTGATAGATCAGTACCCCATAGACAACATAGAGGATATGATGCGTCAACTCCAACAGACCATCTAGGTCATGCAGCAGGATGCTGCTCGCCAAGTGGAAGTTACCACTCGCCAAACGGAGGTGGTAGCCCAGCAGGCTGAACTGATTGCCAAGCTTCAACAGCAGTAGCAACCACAACAAACACCAGCTTCTGCTTCTCACCCACCCCTAGCTAGGGTTCCGACACCCGGGGTTACAATCAACGTCCAGGATAATGTGGACGTTCAGGTGGATCCAATTTCACCCCAGACTTCTAAGGCACCGGTCTACCCAACGGAGGCCCCTTTCGAGTTTGAGGTTGACCCTACCACGTTAAAAGTGAGCAAGCTTGAGAAGCTTTTTAAGAGGGCGCAGGGTGTCAACTCAATCGCAGACATAGAGGATGGCTACACCGATGCAGCGATGACTTTGCTAGATAGGTTTAAGATGCCACATATAGACCATTTTGACGGTTCAGGCAATCCCATGGTTTATCTGCGGTTGTTTTCTGATATTCTGCGGCTAATGGGCCTGACTAGATTGCAGAAGTTCTCTCTTTGGCCGAACCATGTTTGGGATAGCAGTCATCTGGTATGCTAAGCTTGAGGACTCTGTGAAAAGGAATTGGGAAGAGATGGCTGAGGCCTTTATTGCTCAATATTCCTATAACACCCAAATCGAGGTCACAACTCGTGATCTCGAGGCTACTCGTCAAGAGCCGAAGGAAGGCTTCTCAGATTTCGTCACTCGGTGGAGGGCCAAGGCCTCCATGATGACAACCAAACCAGCCGAAAATGATCAAATCTGGATGGTGGTCCGCAATCTACAAAAAAGGCTGCTTCAAAAGAAGATAGTTCTACCTTTGTCTACATTTGCCGACCTTCATGAATTCGGGGTGCAGATAGAGGATGAGATGAAACAGGGTCTGATTAACCAAGAGAAGGAGCAACCCAATAAGGGTTTTACACGTAGTTCAAAGGCAACCACGAGTGGTAACGCAGCTGCAAGGACTTCAGATGCTGGTATGGTCACTACCACACCGAAAACAGCTACCCCCTTTACCGGAACATTCGGAACCACTTCCCAACCTGCAAAATACCCACCCTGAGGCCAGAGGGTTTTCACCCCGCTTTACATGTCTCTATCCAAGGCCTTAGTGGTCTTGATTAGAAAAGGGCACTTGAAACCGTTAGAACAACGCCCTTTGCCTGATCCCCTCCCCCCTAAACATAACCCGGCCAAGTATTGCGCCTTCCACCAGAAGCACGATCATGACACCGACCTATGCTTTAGATTACATCATGAGATTCAAGTTCTCATAGACAACAAAGTGATAGTGCCTCTAGAGAAGCCAAACGTCTCTACAAATCCCTTGCCACCACATAACCAAAACTCTCCACCCAGGCAAATAAACCTGATCCAAACACTGGCCGTTCCATACGACCCTAGCGTATACATCACTCCCTTCTATCTACCCAAGCAGGCACTGTTCATCCCTGAGAGCACAGACTTGTGCATGATGAGCACATCTTCACTACAACCCAAACCAGTGTTGGTGACAATGGAAAATGAAAAGAGGTCAGCTTTGGTGGAAAATGCCAGTCCGTTGCCCGAGGGCTCTGAGGACTTATCTGAAGAAATCTACAACCTGTGCTGCTATATCATGCCAGTCAGTTAGGCTAGGGCCGAGGTGGAATTCCCCAAGGGAACAGAGGTTAATGTCGTCTGGGAAGACGGACAGAGTCAAGGGTTAGATGACTTAGTTGAGCTTGAGGAGGACATCTCTAATCTATAATTCTTTGATGAGTAAGATCTGGGGGATGTGCACATCAGCTGGTTTAATATGAACGGATCAACGGATACTACACGGTGGCTTAGTGATGAGCCGGATGTTGATGAGGGATCTCAACCAAGGCTGGAACAGCCGGAAACAGGGATTGATGCAAAGGTTGGAACGGCCGAAAACAAGAAGAAATTACCAGAGAGCGCCGGTATGAAGAATTTTGCTCGAGAGTTTAGCAGTGTTTGTACAGCTGATACGGAACGGGAAGTCATGCTGAAGCAGTTTGAGTATGAAAGTAATCAGAATGGTCAGAATGCTAGAAAAGTCGAAGGCCCGGTGAGGACAGAATGTGTTGTGAACACGGGGACAATTACAGCGGAACCGGACAGTTGCTTGTCAGTTACCGGAGGAACATGGTGGGAAGATGATGATTTGCGTCTTGCCCATACTAATGAGCACTGGGGATAGAATCTACCAGATGATACATGGTACACCGAAGAAGTGGATCACATGACCCGGAGTAGGCGGTGCTTCAAGCCTTCGCACCTGGACCAACCGGAAGCACCTGGGAAGGATAAGGAGGCAGAAAAATAGAAAGAGAAACCGCTAGGAGAAGAGGTTGTACTGAGGCAACTAAAGAAGATTTAGGCAGATATATCCATTTGGGGATTGCTCATGGCATCACGAGTGCACAGACAAGCTGTCCTGTCTGCAATGGACAAAGCCAAGCTCTCCATCGACACAACCCCTGAACAGTTGGTAGGACTGGTTTTCTCGGGAGGAGCTTCGCCAACTTTAACCATTACAGATAAAGAATTGCCGCCTGAGGGCTCTAAGCACAACAAGCCGTTGTACATCTCTGTTGAATGCAAAGAGAAATTGATCTTAGTCTGCAATCAATATGTGCCCGTGGCGAACGGCCTATGCTATCGGTTTAAAACCCGCAGACTTTGTTCCAACAGCCCAGGTGATTTGGGCTTATGACAATACTAGCAGGGAGGTGATGGGGACAGTCAGGATTAGAAAGCAGGTTGGTCTGGCGTAGTAGGACATCGAGTTCCATGTCCTAGATGTTCCAGCCACCTTTAACTTGCTCCTTGGGTGGCCATGGCTGCACCAAGTGAAGGCAGTCTCTTCCGCCTTGCATCAGACGTTGAAGTATCCCCTTGGGAAAGGGTTGGCCATTGTTTTTGGAAACTCTTCCATACATCCTCCTCCAGAAGTCTCTACACTAGTACTGGAAATTTTACACTGCGACGAGGATGTCTTTTTGTCTGGGTTCACCTTGGCTGAGGCCCAGGAAGCACTATGAGTTAGTGCATAGACCTATGAGTTAGTGCATAGTGCATAGACCTATTCAAGGAACCCTGAACGGCTTCTTTGTTCGGGAGGGGGAAGATTTTCCATTCTGTGGATTTCCTGAGCCTTGGTTAAATTTTGAGAAGCGGCGTCTACCTGATTTTGAGATCTTCTTCAATCTACAACTAAAAGGGGATAAAATTGAAAAAGAACAGACTGTCTTACAAGCTGAGGCTAAACAGAGTGCAGAGGATGAGTCCAATGGCACTGAACTTGAGATGGGAGCAACGCTAGCTTATCTCCTTTTCGGATCCCCAGATCGAACCAAAGAGCCTGGGGGATGACTTCACTATTTCCATGATCGGGGATCAAATGGCTGTGTGCCCTTCTTCTAGTATTCTGGATGCATCTATCACACCCTCCCTCATTTGGCAATTCGATGAGGGCTTTTTGTCCAGTAGCTCTGAATCAGGTAGTGAGTCAGAATCTGATTCCACAGAGTCTATGGAGTCGAAATCAGATTCCAGTTCTTCTGAGTCAGAGTCCAGTATTCCTGGGGTTGATAACCCAGATGCCGTTGTTTTGTCTAGGTCATCTTTTTCTTTTTCCTTTGAGTCGGTTATAACTGAAGAATTAGACGAGCTGGATGTTGTGAATGAGAATGGTACCACTGCTGTTTCTAAGTACTTTTCTGTGCCTTTAGTATATTGCATTGATCATGACTTTCAAAGCTTTGATGAAAACGATGAGGAAGGAATTCCTACGATTTTAAAACATTTGATTGATCGAGAGGAGGAGAGGTTTGTAAAACCCCTGGTTGATGAAATCACTGCGGAAAATTTGCCCGGATTGGGCTTTGAAAATCAAGAGGTCTCCAAGCAGATAGACGCGGGGTTCATGCTAGTATCTGAGTATCCAACTTGGTTGGCCAACATTGTTCCGGTGCCTAAGAAAGATGGCAGAATTCAAGTGTGTGTGGACTTCAGGGATCTGATCAGAGCCAGTCTGAAGGACGACTTTCTACTACCGCACATCAACGAGTTGGTGGACTTCACCGCAGGCCATGCGCTACTCTCCTTCATGGATGGATTTTTCGGGTATAACCAGATCTTGATGGCACTCGAGGATAGAGAGAAGACTGCCTTCACCACGCCATGGGGAACCTACTGCTATAGGGTGATGCCGTTTGGGCTTAAGAATGTTGGGGCTACTTATTAATAGGTTGCAACCACAATTCTACACGACATGATCCACAAAGAGGTCGAAGTGTACGTGGATGACATGATTGTCAAGTCCAAGGAAAGAAAAGGCTACTACACCGCCTTTGAGAAATTTTTCCAATGGATTAGAGAATATCAGTTGTGACTTAATCCTCAGAAATGCACTTTTGGTATTGCAACAGGGAAAATGTTGGGGTTCTTGATTACACTGAGGGGCATTGAGGTCGATCCTTCTAAAATCTAGGCCATACTAGAAATGCCACCACCAAGGACTGAAAAGGAGGTGCGAGGCTTTCTGGGTAAAGTACAATTCATAAAATGATTTATTGCAAAATTAACCTTGACTTGTGAACCACATTTTGGTCTCCTGAAGAAAGGAAAGAAATTTCAATGGGATGACCGATGCCAAGTAGCTTTTGAGCAAATCAAGCAGTATCTACAAAACCCGCCTGTGTTGTCACCGCCAAAGCTGGGGAAATCGTTGATTTTGTATCTGTCTGTAACGGACACGACGATGGGCTGCATGCTTGTGCAGGAAACTGAGGATAAAGTGGAGAAAACCATCTATTACCTGAGCAAGAAGATGTTGGACTATGAGACCCGTTACACCCCTTTGAAGAAGGCATGCTTAGCCTTGGTATGGGCTACCGGGAAGTTGAGGCACTACCTGTTAGCTCACTCTGTAATTCTAGTTTCGAGATTCGATCCCTTCAAATATCTCTTCGAGAAACCCGCACTTACGGGTAAGCTAGCCCGTTGGTTGCTTCTTCTCTCTGAATTCGACTTGAAGTATGTGACGCGCAAGTTTGTCAAGGGGAGAGCAGTGGCAGAGTTCCTAGCAGATCACCCAGTGGAAGGGGATAAAGAGGCAGAATACCTATTCCCGGATGAGGCCATTCTGCAGGTTAAGGAAGAGAAATTTTATGCCAATTTTCTTAGTCTTTTCCATTCTTTAATCAATTTGTCCGAAGTGATAGTTAAGTCCACTAAATGAGAAGAAATGTCAAACGAGAAGTGATCCTAAGCATGAAAGAGAGACTATGCATTGACGATGAACCCCGTAGAGATTAAGCCATTGAACATAGGTCTCTTTCTCATGCTTTGACTAACCATCGATCGGTTGAAATAACTCTCAAACAAAAGAAAAGAAGAAAAGAGGAAGGTTGCAGAAATGATTGCGAGATTGATTATTAGAATGAGACTATTCAAAATAGAAACTAAGCAAATAAAGCTATCAACTCAAACAATTAGGTATCTAAGGCCTAAACAACCGAAGCTATGAGGACACACAATACAAAAAGCAAAGTATTCAAAGCATAAACTAATTAAATGAATTAAAACAGGTCTAAACAACCCCTATGTAAAAAACAGTGGCTAAAATGATGTAGAAAGAGTACAAGAAAGAGAAGAAATAACAAGGAATCACAAGGCTAGTGAATATATGCTCTTCATAAATTTTTCAACCCTCAAAACAAAGCCAAGAGCTCGTATTTATAGAATTTGAGCAAAATAGGTCACAAATATCTTCAAAAATGGATAGCTAGCGAGCTCCCACCCAGAACAATGTTTATCGCCCACAAGGCACGGCCCTTACTGAGGCATGGCTGGGCGCCAATGTGTTCTCATGTTCCTCTGTTTCAGGCTCAATATAGGGTGGCACAATGTTCAATAAGGGACCTCTAAGGTAAGAACAAGGTAAATATGACGGCTTTGGGATTGTTTTATAGCCCGACCTTGAATGCCTTCGTTGAGAATTCAAATCATACACAATGCTATTTTCATCATCGAGTGCCCAGGATAAAGCGCACAAGTCTTGCGGGCGATCAAAAATGGGATGCCTACAGTCAGCACTTTACTAACTTATGCAAGTGCACTTCACACTGTTCAAGCTTATTGATGAAATTTCATCTTTTCTTGGAATATACATAAGCTAATGAACTAATTAGCTAAGCAATTTGAATGAACGACCTCAGGAAGCGAGGGATGCATGCATGCTCAGTAGGCTTCTTCCCGAAAATCCACCACCTTGCCTCTAGATGCCTTTGTTTGCACACCTTTGGACCTCTGAAAATTATGCCAACTTCCAGACTGCTTCTGTTTGATCTTAAGAACATACTGAGGGTTGATCGGCTAGCAATGATGGCCATCGGCCACTACTAATGGCCGGTCGGCTACTTTGGTGGTCGGTCAGCCAGCACATGTGGCCGATCGGCCACTACTTCCCTGAATTTCCTCATTTTGCTACAACAGAGAGCAAACAGAGGCAAGGCAGTGTATTTTGCAAGGAAATGTATGTACTGCCACACTCCTTATCATTTCTCAAGCTCAAAAGAGTATGGCCCTTGGCTCTCAAGCCACCAATCAAACATTTTCAAAGCATGATGGCCAATGAATCAAGCTTGTACAAGCTTAATGAATGCACACATAAGACTCAAATGGCCACCACCCTATCATGCATGATCAACGGTGTCGGCGACCAAGAAATGTGACACGTTTCATCACTATGAGTATGAAACGTCCCACATTTCTTGTGTTTGGATTAATGTCCGATCCAAACAAATTCAAGGCAACACAAATATGCTTATCTTGCATGTTTTACTTTACTCAATTCTTGTTTACACATTTTAGTATTACCAAGCCATTCTTTAGTCAATTTGTCCAAGGTGAGAGTCCTCTAATGAGAGAGGAGACAACCAAAGGATGGTTTAAAATATGAGAGAGATCATGCCTTTGACTAGGAGGAACCCTCAAAAGAGGGTTAAAGCCATTTGAGCACAAACTCTAACTCATGCTTAAGCACAACCTTAAGGACAACAAACCCTCAAAACAAAAGGAAAAATGAAGAAAAGATGAAGGTTACAGAATTTCAGTGCTGAAATGGCATGCTCAAGACATTAAATCATGCAAGCAATGCATGCAAGACATGTTCAAAGCCAAAAGCATTAAAGCTAGTGAAGGACACAACACTAAAGGCATGCAATAACAGGCTTAAAAGGGACTAACAGTCCTAAAACACCCTGAATGGAGTTCTAAAACATGCTTGAAATAAGCCAAAAATAGCTATGTTAACAGGCCAAAACAATCGCACATGCTAGGCAATTTAGCACAATTGCATTACAAGCATACAAAGCAAAGCTTATATGATTAAACCAGCTCAAAACAGAGCTTAATTATGCCAAATCAGTAGCTAAAACATGCTGGAATTGAAGCACAAGTGGCAAGAAAAACATGCTCGCGTGTTGGTTCGCAAGCAAGGCATAAAGCATAACTCTCAAAAGCAATGAAATATGTGAGAGTATGACAGTGATATATGCTCTGAAATTACATGCTAAATGATGCTATGGCATGCGAACAACTCGAGTAAAGCATGCTAGAAGTCTTAAGTCACAAAGCTAGTGAAGCCAACTACACTATAGCCATGCAAGGCAAAGCACATATGACCAAGACC